CGCACTTCCGGGCGGCGACACGCCCCCTAATTGCAGCAGCTACCGAACAGCGAACGAGTGGCGGGTGGGGGCTCTGAGCAGAAAGAGGGAGAGAAAACTCTGTGAAAGTCATCGCAGCGCTAAATTAGCACTTGTCATTGTTCGGGGCACTCGGCTCTCAGTCAGTATTGGCACAGCGTGAGGAATTTTCCATTTTCCATTTTCTATTGAACAGCTGACAGCAAAACTCGACTGTGGCTGAGTTGCTGCCAGTCCTGGCCAGAGAATACCCAGGATAAGCCAACGCCAGAAGGGCAGATGGGCACAAGGGAGAGGGGAAGAACAGGCAGGGAAACTCGTAACAATTAGCACTCAAGATTGATGGCTGAGAAAGGGAGAGCAGAACAACAACTCCGCAAAGGGAGAGGGTGCAAATGTGCGAAAGAGGCAAGAGGAGAGGGAAAGAGAGAGAGAAGAGAAGGCTGTCAGAGGGTAAAACTGATATGTGTGGTCTGATTTTGTATGTGTATATGTGTGTGTGTGTGTGTGACTATATAAATACTTATATGTATGCGTTGAGGATGTAAGCCACAGAAGAAGGCGTGGCAACTGCATTAGATTGAGCCATGATGAATTGGAAAATTGAGATAAATTTATATAAATAGATAAATATTTAAGTGATTGCAAATATTACAGATATTTGCACATTACAACAAAAGTCTGTCGATCGTGTCCAATTGGGATAAAGTAAGTAAAAAATAAGACAAATTCTCAAGGCTGACCAATAACATTTGGTCAACAGTACATATATCATATATACTCGTAGTGATAATAGTTGTTTTAAAAGCTAAAGTAGGATCTGAAACTTTTGGCATTGCTTGGGGTAACTTATGTTTTCTAATTTTAAATAGTTCAACTCATAATAACTTAGTTAGTTCTTCTTCAATAGAGCATCGAAAATTCACTTTGAAATTGATTAATTGATTACAAAATTTACAGTTCAATTGTATAAAATGAATTGGAATGAAGTAAAAATCATATTTGGAGTTGAGAAAATATAAGACTGTTTACAGCTACCAAATGAATAGCAACAATAAGTCATGACACCAATGTTGCTGCTGTGATGTGTAGTTGTATAAAAGTTATATGACTATGAAACATGTATAGAATCTTACATCAAATTCTTGTCTTGTCTTGCCTAGTAAAGACTTTGATGTGAGTGATATAAAACTGACTGGGAAAAACTGAAAAAGGCAAAAGAAAAACTAATAAAATGTTTGTGTGGACTTGTTAAAGTTGCCAGTTAGCAGTTACCAGTTACCAGTTACCTTTTGAACCCCGTGGGTCAGCGAGTCTAACTGACTAACTGACACATCAGTCAGCTGCTTAGATCTATCAGCTGCTCTCAAAGACTTAATGATCCTTGTCGGCAAATCACACTAAAAATTTGATGCCATAAAGTAACCCACACACACACACACACACACACACACACACACACACACAGAGACAGAGAACAGGCAGACATCGGCAGACAAGTGCCGTATGCTGCTCCATTAGCAGCACACAATTTGTACCTACCGAAAATCCATCAAAATGCCGAGGCCCACAAATAAAAACCAATTCCAATGAAATTGAAAAACAAGCCAAGCCAGGCCAAGCCAGCAAAGCAAAAGCAAAAGCAAAACCAGGCAAGGCAAGGCAACAACGGGCCAACAACGGACCAAACAAATAGCTCAGCTCGCTGACTGTGAACTGTGTGCTGAAGTCTGAAGTCCACAGCACGAAATCTCCGAGAAGACCACCTCCCCTGCTTCCTCCTCCCTCCCCCGCCCTTTCTCTTTTTATGGTGCAACAAATCTCAAAGCTGAACAGAACAAACAAAAAAAAGTAAGAATGCTGCAGTAGAGTCAATGCTCGACTACGACATACCCTCTAGCCAGCTTATAAATATATATTATAGTTGTCAGTAGAGCAGAACTGAAGTTTTGGACCATAAATAGGTTTTTTATGAAATTTGTGCAGTTGATCAATAATATGATCAATAATAATAATATTAAAATAGTATTAAATCAATTGGTAAACTCTGTCGCAGGCAGTTATCGATTAAAATACAGCCAACGAGGGGTACCCAGGAATTTATATTCCAAATTTAAAGTCTCTCGCTTGTATAGTCTCTGAGTCAGCGGTTGATTCTGATTAAGAATAGATATATTTACTTTGTAGGGGAATGGAAATGCTTCCTTCTGCCTGTTACATACACTTGCACAGAACCAGTATACCCTTTTCGATAGCATAAAACGAAGAAGGAAAAAGCAAAAAAAGAAAAGAAGAAGAAGAAATGACGACCAACGCAAAGAGTGAAAAACTGAGCAAACAATGCGGCCAAGGCGGCAGCCGAAGCCAGCCGAAGTCGAACAAGAACCCGAACCCGAACCCGAACCCGAAATGAATACCCCTCTCTCCTCCGCGACCTCTGTCTTGCTCTCTCTCTACACTCCCTAACGACGACGACAAGTTGAGAAGGAGGCGGGCCGTGTAAGAGTTAGTTGGAGTGGGAGGGGAGTGAGGGGGATGAGGGGGTATCTGACTGAGGTAACTGAGAACTTAAGCCACGGCCACCACAATGACGAGTGCCCAAAGAGACCTAAGACGATGACGTTGAAATTGTGGCTATTGCCTGTATATCAGTGTGTCTGCATGTGTGTGTGTGTATGTGATACCATATTATTAAGTGTAGCCAGAAGCAATTAAGTGTAGATAAGCAAACAATAATGTTCCTAGTCACGTACCAAAGCAGTCTTGGGACATTCTCTCACTTACTACCCCTGCCACTACCCGTACCCCTACCCCTACCATCCCCCGTCGCCCCTCCCACTCCGCATGCCTAGCAGAGAGTCCTTCAAGTTGACAGGACTAGTTGCTGCTTCGCTTTGCTTGGCTTGGCTTGGCTTGATTACTCGCCAGTGTTTGCTGCTGCTGCTGCTGAACTTTCGTTCGCTTGATGTTCAATCACTCAAGTGTATTGACCAGCAACGATTTCAAACTCCTAATTTCCACCATGCCCCCTAAACATCAACCCCAAATCAAACTCCAACTGCAGCACTTCTGCTGCTGTTTACTCAGTTGTCGCTGGTTGTCTGTCTTTGATACATTTAATTTCATTAGATGATGCACCCCCCAACAACAGCAAGAATGAGGACAACAACCAATGTGTAGTGCCATTTAGTCCTGTGTTCCACATTGCAAAGAGGGTTGCCCCTTGCGGGAATGAGGAGTTGGGTGTGTGTGTGTGTATGTGTGTATTAATACTGGAACAAGTTGCATGGCTTCATCACGGTGGTAAGAGTTGTTTACCTGCAAAACTGAACAATCAATAAGAAGAGCTGTTAAAACATTAAACGCCTCCGTTCGATGACAAAGGCAAGCTTAAAGTTCAACTTGAGTTAAAATAACGAAAACTTCATCGCCCCAAATCAGGCCAAAAGGGGCGGCATAAGGACTAACCTAATAGTTGAAGTTAATTGCCAGCTTTTAAGGCATAAATATTGTAAATGTGCTGTAAATGTGCCAAACGGCCAAGCTAACAAAAGTAATTGCCAGTGGCAGTTTCGAATAAATATCTATAATTAATAAATACATTTGGTCTATCATTAAACATTAAATATTTAGCCTCGAACGCCCAACAATTATTCAACAAGTTACTCAATTTGAACATTTAATCACCGATTTTACACATTAGCTGACAACAGGTTAAATATGCAAAAAATACAGATAAGGGTTTAGAATTTAATCATTATAATGTCAGCAAGAGCCAGTCGACACAAAAGAATACATATAGAATACAAATGCAATTAAAAATTACATTTAAATTAAATAATAAGAAATATTTATGATATTTCTGGGTGTATTTTAATGCAAAATGGTGCAACATTTGTTGCATGGATTAGCGAAACCCCAGAGAAAAGTCAATCAGACCAAAAACAAAAAAATAGTTAAAAAAAAAACATAATTTTAAACAGTCAGCAGAGCTAACAGAAAGCAGAAACGAACTTTAACAGGGACATGCAAACAGCTGACTTTGATTTTGCTTGTTACTCCTGCTAATTGTCAAATAGGAAAAGTTGAGCACACTCAAGTCAAAACACACCGACACCTTTCACACACACTCACTCATTCAAATAGGGTTGCTTACATTTCATTATATTTTCACGTACCATTTCATGCCATTAATCACGTACCAATTTTGTTTTGTTTTTTTGTTGTTTTTTTCGTGGTGAATACAAAGTAGAAACTCCAAATGCAATCTGGAACGATGGGCAACGTGTACTATAAATAGCATCTGCGTTCCCGTTCCGTTTCGTTCCTTTTCGTCTCGAGCCGTTTCTCTTGCCATCAGCGTTTTTAACATCACGATCCGATAAACAAACATGTGTTCCCTCCGACATTGTCGTCGTCATCGTCGTCGTCGTTGTCGTCGTCTTCCTCTTCGTATTCCACACGACTCATAAACTCGTAAACAATGCAAAGCGTCGCGACATTTCAAACGACAATAGAGCTGAAAACTGAGAACTGACCACGGACAACAATAACAGAGCATAAACAAATAACTGAAAACACACACACACACTCACACACAAATCATAATAAACAAGCAAGCGAAATGAAATGTAGTTCACACACACACGCACACATACATACACACAGCTACGCCTACGACACTTTTTTTTTACTTTTGCTTTTGCTTTTGGTTTTGCATTTTATTTGCCTTTTGCGTTCCACTTTAAATACACGCAGACACACAGATCACACACACACGCACAGAAAAAGGCACGTCGTTTAGCTATTTCCGTTTATTGTTTCATTTCGGTTTCATTGGCAAAACTCTTCAAGCAGTTGCTTTAATTCGTTCCAATTCCCACAGCGTTTCACGCTAATAAAAAAGAATTAACCACAAACTCTATTTTTTTTGCCAAGTTGCCGTCAATAACCTCAAATGGCCGTGAACTAAAAGTCGAGAAACACATAAAACAAAAACTTTATTTAAATATGTGACTCACACTGTGTTTGAGACACACAAATAGTTTACATGTATTTCAGTAAACAGTAAAGTTAACAGTTACATTCTGTACATCTGTAAAGAATACACTGAGAAATACATTCATCTAACAACTCAACTAAATGCAGTTAAAAACAGTTAGCAATACTGTCAGGCTGATCAGATAATTCCAATGCCAGGGTTGCACTGCAACTGTTGCCTTGTTATCGCCACATTTGCATTTGTCTCTGCAGTGATCGCAGTGGCTTTGTGGCGATAACTGCCTGAGGAGACGCGGATGCACCGCAATTTGGCAACCAATCACTTTCGACCAGAAACAACACCAGCTTGGCACATACTCTACGAAAGAGAACTCAATATTAAATATTGATAGATATATATTTATATGATATATCGATATGTACCCAGATGGTAGGGATAGGGCACACAGTGTGCATACATGTTGCCGGGATCTCGAGTGCTCGTCGCATATTCAGAGTACGTCAGTACCTCGCTGGTTAGTTCGGCGCCCCGCATACAATAAAATCCCGTTTCTTTTGGCCTGCAATCAGTTTTCCAGGTCTGCGCACAATCCACACACTGACCATGAAGACCTAACATCGAAAGTCAGCCAGTTCTTTAGTAGACTCGTCAACGGTCTCACTTACCGGGTATGAACAAAACAATCGTTGCCAGAATTATACCAGAAAAATATATCATCTTTTACAACAAATTTTAGAACACAAAAAAAAGGTTTGAAATTTTGTTGACACATTTAGAAATGGCAGATATATATTTGAGAGAGCGATATCTGTTAGAGATGCTTAATGCCCGGTATGATCGTGACTGGGGCTGCAACATTGTGGCAGTATCGCAATCACATATCCCAAAGCACTTGGCACAATAATTGCCGGGATTTTCCGTGTATACCCTCGGACTTAGGGCAAGTGTGCAACCAATTTGCTGCGAATAGACGCAGCAGTATTCTTCAACTTCAAACTTACTTGGCAGAAATGGTGAAATAATTAAAAAATATAAAATATATAAATAAAACATTTTCTCCATTTAATTTGTGGGTTTGACTAGAGTCAAATAGCATGCTAGGCTTGTTATATGTATGATTGTTCGTATCTGTAGAATAAAATATCTGCAAATAAAACCGTATCCTTATTCTCTCTATCTCTCTCTCTGTGTGTGAAAGATTCCGATACAATCATCATTAACGGCAGCCAAATGACGTTTGCATATTTCACAGCGGGCTTTAAAAGTGTTTTTCTTTTTCCATTTTTATTTTTATTTTTTATTTATTTTATTTCATTTTGTCTTGTTCGTCTGTGCCTTAAATGAATTCTTGGCCTGGCGAAATTCTGTTGAATTTCTGTTAATGCTCATTATGCATAGTGGAACGAACTGAAAGTTCCCAGAATGTTCCCAGAAATAAACTGACCAACTGAACAGAACTGAGCTGAACTGAACTAAACTGAGCTGGCCAACAGACGCTGTGCAGCTGAGTGTTGAGTGTTTTTTGGGATCACCGTGTCTGGGGCATTGTGGCAAGAGGCACTAATAACAGGGGGAATTAAATGCATTCGACTTCCATTCAGCATCCAATTTGTGGCCAGCGGAGCTTAAGCTGGTTTCGATCCGCCTTAAGAATTAAGCAAACTGATTGTTTATTTTGGTGTAGAGCAGGTTTGAAAATTACTAAAAGAAACTAGCTTAGTTGTCGCATCGACACTAATTGACGATGTGGCAATGGTTTTATTTATACTCGATACACGATACTCAAGTGAATACTAGCAGAAAGACTAACTCCATAGATGAACATATGAATATATGATGTTTTTAGACATATTCCAATGATGGGCAGGTTTTGTACATACGTAGAGTATATCCATAATGGTGGATGATGGGGAGAAGGTCGTGCACATCCATAGCTTTGTAGCATATGTATATCATCAGACTGTTATAGCATAATCAGCAGCGTGATCATAGATGGAACAAATGGAGAAGGGTTGAACACGCTGAAATAGAATGTGTGCAACCGAAACTAAACTAGATAATGAGAAGGTTAAGTTACATACTCAACTGAAAACTAGTAGAAATACAAGAGAATATTTTATTCACTCTACTAACTAGCCTCTTGCCAATTAAAGTACTTTTCTAACTCAAATGTAGCAAGAATCTAAAAATCATCCTTTGCAAAATCGGTTCAGTTTGTGAACAAAATGTGAAAAGATTTTTAAGTATCTACTCCACCCGATATTTAGCAATACTTTCCACTTTAGATACATTACTACTATAGCTAATAGTGTCCGCTGAGCAGCTCACCTGTCTGACACCTGACCAAATGCCACACACACAAATTGGCCTTTCGCTTTGGAGCCTTTCCTTACACATTTGGAGCTCACTTGTCGACACTCGCACTTCTCCCCCTCCCACTGCAGTTGATGCTGAAAACTTTGTCGTCGTCGTCGTCGTCGTCGTCGTCGTCGTCGACATTGGCGGCTGGCTTGCATTGTTATTCAAATGCTGCCATTAATACTTCACTGGCAATTGCAAATGCGCCGCCAACGACAGCACTGAGACTGAAAATCCACAGCTGAAGATGTGTGTCTGTGTGTGTTAGTGTGTGTGTGAGTGCTCCTATGATTTTCATGGGTGCCACACGTCATTTGCGTTAGTGTGTGTGTGTGTGTGTGTTGGGTGCTGGGTGCTGGATGCAGGGTGCCTGTGGCTTCGGTCTCCGGCTTCAGGCTCGTCGCTTTTCATTTGATTTCCAGCTTCTATTCATATGTAAATGCTTTGCACTGAGAGACTACTTTACACACACACACACCATGCCTCCCCCTCCAGCCTCACAGTAGCAGTGTCTGCTCTGGGCACCCTCCCCTGTCTCGCTCTCCCCTCGTATTGGTTCTATTTGTGCGGCAGGGCAAAAGGTTCGCCTTTTGAAATTTAATATTCGAAAATGAAATTTCAAGTGTTTTGAATTTATTAACTTGCCATTCACAACCTTACCAACCAGCCCAACCAACAATTGTTGGCCCCGGGCGCTAAACGCAGTCGAAATTTCCTTCATTTTCTTTTTTTTCTATTTTCTATTTTTCTGGTCAAAGAAGCCAAACATTGTCCAAACAAACAATTGGCCACATCTTTCGCAAGTACTTTTAGGGCCAGCCCCCTTTTTACTGGTCCTTTCCTGGTATCGCCTATTATCCCCCTCCATCCACCCATATCCATCCATCCACTCGTCCACTCGTCCACCCATCCCCCATCCTGTCCGTCATAGTTCCGGCTGTGTTCCCGTTGCTGTGCATTAACGGAACATTGTAACAATAAACTCGCCACACATGCCTTGCCCGGCCTCTGACTGCCTGCCTATCCACAAAACATTCTTCTACTTCTGTTGATTGTATCACAGTAAAACGAGCAAAATTATTATAGTTCTGATGATGAGGGGGTTGGGATTGATCAGAAAGAAAAAATAAAGTTAGCATTCGCTAGCCGAGATAACTCGACTGGCAGATATCCTGTTAAATATATAGCAAAATCTGATTTTCTCATCGAAGCTTAATGATTTATCTCTTACACTTGATCCATTTCATGTCAGGGCTTATGATATATATGAATTGGAAGCCTGTATCTACACAATTGTGTCTTTTATGGCTATCGGAAATCGATTTTTATCGATATTCGCGGAATGATTGCGCTGCTTGTAATTGAAATTCTGCAGCTGTTATAGTCTCTGTCTTTGGATAAGGACATACGGACAGACAGACTAAATTGATTTGGCTATTAATCCTGATCATGAATATATATACTTTATGGCGTCGGAATTGCTTTCTTTCAACTTTATTACATCGATTTTCAGATATAACAGCTTAAGGGAGTTTGGAATATATTCAATAAGCTTAACGATTGTATAAACAAATCATGATTAATCATTATACCCATTTTTTGTCCTTATTCAATGAGTATAAAAATGAAATCAAAATCATTTGTTCGACTATGCGATAGCTGCACTGAAATGTGGGGTTTCAACAATGACAACAACAACAACAACAACAATAGTTGACACTAGGCAACACCAATAATAGCAACTACAACAACTACAACAACAATAACATCCCTCAAATAGAAAAAAAAGAAGAAAATGTATTGAATTTCAGTGCATGTCTCTTTGCTATACCATTTCCCAAAACGAGCATTGTAAGTATCCCTCGAATATATATGTTCTCTTTAACAACTATTCTTTATTTTTATATTTCTTTTTATTTAGTTTTTTGTCGGTTTCGTTGAAGCATTTAATGAATTTATCAGCTGTTTCCATCTGAGGTTTCTCGTTCTCGCTTTTGGTTCCATTCTCGACTTGAGTTGACTCATTTTCGTAGAACTCACATTTTGGGTCATTGTAAAATCGGTTTCTTGCACTCTTCTTCTTCTGCTTCTACTTCTTGTTCTCAAGTTGGTCTTTATTACCATTTAATGTGCCTCATTCGCTCTAATGTTTAATGGATTTGTGTTATATGGTTCTGTCTCTGTTCCGTATGCACCAAAGTAGGTGGAGGGGTTTCAGCAGGGGGTCTTTTTACGCCCTCAATCATGTCTCCAGACGGTTTTTCAAATCTTTCAATCTGTTGGCTTCAATTGTGAATGTCTTAAATAGCACATCAATTGACAATAAATTCTATAAAAATAGATAAACTCGTTGAAACTCGATGTTTGCTCTGGTCGAGGTTTGTTCTTCTCTTATTATTATTATTTTTCTTGAATAGTCCCCAAATAAACTGAGTGTTGTTCTTTTATTTCCTTTATTTACTTGTTGCTCTCAACTCATTTGATCAGTATCTTTTATGTTATTCTCTCCAATTGCTTAGAATGTTCCTTTGCCTTTTCGAATTGTAATTTAAATTTAATTGATTACTTTATTTCCACTCTTTTTTGTGATTGTATTGTTATTTTCCTTAAACAAATATTGAGTTATCTTTAATGTTAAAATGTTTACAATGTTTCGTTTTTAATTTATTTATTTCTAATTTTATTTCTGCTCTAATTTTGTTGTATATTTTTTTTTAGATTAGCTTCCGTTCCACTTCGTTGTTCCTTCTTGCTTGAAGTGTTCCATTTCTTCTCCAATTAATCACCGCATACCAAAGTTGATCTGTTATTTAGAAGCTTTTCAATTTCATTTGACATTTGCTATAATCCTCCAATCTTTGGGCGCTAAAACTTTAAGACCAAGCAGCAGCAGCAGCCATAAAGCAGTCAAAACATGATGGAATAATTCTCACGTTGCGGCTGCTTCAACACCCCAAAAGGAAACAACAACAACACCAACAACCAGTGGCAATAAAACTTGAGGTAAACACTGTTATTGTGGTTGAACATGAACCGCACAAAACTATGAAAAGCAGACTCCGGGCCACAGTCCGGGGATAAACCAATCCATACTCTGATACCACCTGTCTGTGCTGCTGCTGTGGATTAAAGACAAGTTGCAACAAACGCCTTGGGGGCAGGACTAGAAAGCAGCACACACGTTGCACTTGCACTTACAGTTGCTATGAACAAATGAAAAGTATGTAGAAGCGAGCATGACAACAGCAACAGCAACAACAACAGCAAGTTGCAACAAACCAGACACAAGACAGCACAATAAGACACAAACTGACAGGCAGACGAACGGGCGGACGAGCAGACAGACGGACAGACAGGCAGACAGATAGACAGTCAAAGAGACAGACTAAGTAACACCGACAACAAGACAATTAAATTATGCACGATTTTTGCAGATGCCAAAGCACTTGCTGGGGATGCTTGTCGAGGCTCTCCTTTAACCTCTGCCCTCTATCATCCCCTTCCCTCCCCTCTCCTCTCCTCTTCCCTCTCTTCTGCTCACTGTTTAGGCCAGCAATTTTCATAGTATTTTAGATTTTCTGCTTTAAATTGATTTTAAATAAATTAAAAGTTAAATATTG